CATAAATTCTTACGTGGGGATTATAATTAATACAAACAGCGGATTCATTCACAGTCATCTCGCTTCAATGCCAAGCAATTGTCGATAATGTGACATAGAATTCCCTTTTTCATAATAATATAATTATCATGTCATTGACATATAGCTGTTGATTTCTTTCTATTTTATTCCATTCAAGGGTCTTCCAGATGTTGATAATAGTTTCAGAATTTTGGTACATAAACATTCCATGTAATTGAAGTTTAATCAGTTGTGTATTACCAGAGCATAGTTTCACATTTTAAAATCTGGTGTGTTGTGTATGTCAGTGTTTTCAAAATGCTAGAAGTAATTAAAAAATAACAACCCGCATTTTTTCAATGTTTTCTTTTAAGACTTGACATTAACAGCCTGTTTTTGTAAAATTCGAAACGAAACAATTCGAACGAATTACTACCAAACCTTTATTTATGTAAAAAAAATGTTTCTGGATTCAAAACAAAAATAAATGACATATTTTTCAAAACCAAGAAGTTTGGTCGTAAGTCACTCGAATTCGTTCGTTTAGAATTTTACAAAAACAGGCTGTAAAAATCAGTGAAAAAAATACAGTGAATGAACAAAGTACATACACTTAATGTTAAATGGGTTAAGTTCAGTTTGTAAACACATTTTGAATGATGAGAACTATTCTGGAATTTTTAAAATCATTATTTATGAAGGTTATTAGTACAAAATTAATAATTAGTTAACTAATAAGAACAATAACAAAATAAGAGAATTAAAAATGAAAAAATTGCAATAGAATTCGTTGGAATGTGCTTAAGTTTGGACGGAATCGCACACACTCCAAATAACTAAAATCAATCAGAACCCTTAAATTACAACCACTTCGGTTAGAAAATGTGCCTAGAACCATAATGGAGACAAAATAAGGATCTATACGTTATTAAAAACGTAGGTTTTACTTTTTTTTTTCAAAAAATCCGCGACTTAGTCCTTAAAAAATATTCTTAATGAAAAATCTGTGCCTTGGCCCATAAAAAATATTTCCTTTAAAAATCCGCGCCTAGATCCTTAAAAAATAGTATCTTTAAGAAATCCACGCCATGCTCCTTAAAAAAATATTTTGTTATACCTTCCACCATAGTATTGAGGGTATATTAATTTTGTCATTCCGTTTGTAACTCATCGAAATATTCATTTCCGACCCTATAAAGTATATATATTCTTGATCAGGGTAAAATTCTAAGACGATCTAGCCATGTCCGTCCGGCCGACTGTTGTAATCTTCTGAAGGAATTGAAATAAGGTCTGAAATTTTGCATAGGGTTGTCTTTTGTCTGCAGGCAGTTCAAGTTCGAAGATGGGATATATTTGTCCGCGTTTAGGCATAGCTCCCATATAACGGTAACCCCCAATTTTCGGTATTTTGGGGTTCTTAACGCGTTTTTTAACCGAATTCGCTGAAATTTGGTACATTGGGTTCTTATTGGATACTAAATGTATCCACAAAAAATTATACATATAGGTCCACTTTTTCTGGTAGTCCCCATATAACGGTACCTTCTAATTTTCAATATTTTGGGGGTTTTGATCATATTTTTCCACCGAATTGACTGTAATTTAATATTTGGATTTCTTAGTAGGTATAAAATCTGTCCACAAAAAAAAATTATGAATATAGGTCAATTTCTTCGGATAGCCGCCATATAAGGGTTCTCCCAATTTTCGGTATTTTGGGGTTCTTGAGCGCGTTATAAATACTGAAAATGTTGACCTTTTGTGGGGGAGGTACTATAAGGAGTGGACCAATGGGTCACAATTTTGAAAATTTTGGTTGGGAGGTACCACAAGGAGTGGACCGATATTCCCCATCTTCGAAATGGTAAGATGTGCGAAGTTTGAATGAAATTCCAAAGAAACATAGGGTCTAGAACCAATATTTCGATGAGGCAAATTTGCATAGTATCAAAGTGTATGCACTCTCATTAGCCATAAGGCTTGAGGATATAAATATCCATTGAAAATAGCTGAACTTTGTATTTGGAATACATTATGGTTTACATAGGTCCACTTTTTGGTATGTTCCCTATATTTTCATTTCATGTACCTGTCAGTTTACCTATGGTGGAGGGTATCCAAAGTTTGGCCCGGCTTTTTTACTTGTTTTTTTTTTTGTTTTAATCCACGCCATTGCACTTAATAATATTTTCTTAAAAAAAAACTATGCCTCGATCTATATAAAATATATTCATCAAAAAACCGCCAACTTCAATAAATGATGATGTCTTGTATCCATATGTCGCCTATACCTGATCGAGGGCCGATATTGGTATTTTTATAAGTTTTTTAAGTTTCTCGATTGACTCGAATTTTTGTACAACGTATTAAATTGAGACTATTATAACGTTATTGTCTTCTGTTGAAATTGGTGCAGATGCAGATATAGCTTCCAATGAGGTTCCAAAATACAAAATTTGCTGCCAATTCCGTTGAAAATCTTCAATTCCAATTCCAACAGCCATTCCGTTGAAAATAAATCAATCATAGTTAAAATTTTATTTCATTTGTTCTCCTATAGTACATATTTGCAAATCTACCTCCATATCTCAAGACCGCAACAGAAATCTAGATCTAACTAAATTTGGTACCATTTATTGCCCTTTAAACTCTTGATTCGAGCTCTAATGTTCAACCAAAATTCTAAATTTTACCAAATTTAATATCATTTAGTACACACTAATATAAATTTGCATAACACTATCTACGTCAAAAATCCTACAGAAATCAGATTTGCCAATTTCAGAAACCCAATTGGATTACATTAGGTACACATAAGTACGAATTTCCGAAACTTCCAACAGTAATCTTTATTCTAAATTAAAAAAATTCCTGCTATATCGGTTCACCTAAATTGCATCGAATTTACCAATTAGTACACACTAAAATAAATTTCCATAACACTGTCTACCTCAAAAATACAACGGAAATAATATTTCCCAATTTCAGGATTCCAGCCCCATCGATTCACCCAAATCGAAATAGTACCAAATTCAGTACACATAAGTAAGAATTTCCATAACTACTGACATCACACAATCCAATAGAAATTATAGAAAAATCTTCCTTTAAAAAACTTCCTACAAACCCCAACCGAATCATCTAAATTGTACCAAATTTAGTACACATTAATATAAATTTCCACAAGTACCCACCTCAACAATCCCATAGAAATCATATTTCCCAATTTCAAGATTCTAGCCCGATCCGACCACCCAAATCCTAATTGTATAAAAATTAGTACTCATAAGTACAAGTTTTCAAAACAAATCCATACAGGATTCCAATTGTACCAAATATAGTACCATTTAGTATTTTTCGACGTTAATGTAAACTTCAAATTTCAGGATTCTAGCTCCATTCGTGTCTCCAAATTAAGATTTTACAAAATTTAGTATTGTTTAATACTTTCTGTACACATGAGTACATTTTTCCAAAACAACCTTCTTATATCGACCCTTCTTCTCAACCTTGATTCCATATTTTAAGTCTGACGTCTTGGATACCATCACTATATCGCCTGATGTCCTGACGGATGTTTAACGGATGTGGATCTGTCATCACTGTTTGATGATTGGGATGACACGGCAGATCGCATGTTGCTTGACTGAGAACATTCTGGTCTCCTCATGTGGGTGATCGGCACTCATCATCTGGACGCAGCCGGTTGCAATTCGGAGTGCATTATTTTGTGTTGTTAGCAAGGATCTCCATTGTGTGTCGCTAAGGAGAGAAGTCCAGACTGAGGCAGCATAATTAAGGATGGAAGGACCTATGGCCTTGCATGTCGTTATTAACGTTTCATTATCCATGCCCCAGGAGGTGCCAGCCAAAGCTTTAAGATCCCTTGTTGTAGGAATAAAATGCGCGTTTTAGTACCATAATAGAGACAATTTCATTTAATGCTTCAATTTTATGTTCATATTCGATGTTACCATATGCCTTATTTACGACACACCTCTGTATTATGTCTTTGTCATCATAAGGATAGAGAACGGTAGCACGGTCAGTCTCATCTCCTCACACCCTATGTTCATCAGGCAATGTTAGTTCTCTTAAAGCTCTACACCATAGCATAGTATGAGTTCATAAGCATGCATTATTTAGATAAATACAACACCCATCCTCCAACAGGCCTCTCAATGAGCGTGTTTATTACATAACTAATATCAGATCAGTTCGGTCCCCTTAATTCGGGATATTCTTAAATTCATAGCATGTCCACGAATATTAGACCTCACACCCTATGGTCATCGGGCAATGTTAGTTCTCGTAAAGTTCTACACCATAGCGTAGTATGAGTTCATAAGCATGCATTATTTAGATAAATACAACACCCATCCTCCAACAGGCCTCTCAACGAGCGTGTTTATTACATAACTAATATCAGATCAGTTCGGTCGCCTTAATTCGGGATATTCTTAAATTCATAGCATGTCCACGAATATTAGACCGGAATGTGATATTGATTCCAAGGTATCTTTTAAGTTTCCTTTTCAGATCTTTTTATTTCATAGTTAGAAGCAGTATCAGATTATCTGAAGTAACTCAGCAAAAACATCTTTGGATCCAATTGAGGGAAAGAACAGAGAACAAAATTGTACCAGAGAAATGAGATTTTCATTATATCTGAGTTGTCTCCTTCAAATTCAAATACCTGTAGATTTTTTATTAACCTTTCCAATTTTTATAAAAAAATAGAACAACATTTTTTGTAATTTTAAAATGGTATCGACTTTAGATATATTAATTGTTAAAAGTCAACATTTAGTTCACGATCTTGGTAATCTTGAGTTTGAGGTAAATGCCTCCAGATGCTAATGACACTTGGATAATGAAAAGCATATCCATGTGTTGCTTGTCACGTTGCTGTCGCATTTCAAAATGGATTTCAATTGTATTTTTCTGTAAACAAAAATTGTTTATAAGTTGTTATTAATAATTTATTTCTCTTTTAATTTTACAGACTATCCTCTATCAGGATGGCGAAGATGAACCGGTATATCAAAATCCGAACTTGGGCAAATTGCACGAGGGTGTCAGTTTTACGGTGAAAGGACGAACAAAGAAACATTGTGAAAGGTAAGTAAGAAATGAAATACCATATCCGACCATTCTTAATATTGAATTTTATCTCCCCTTCGCAGGTTCTCAATAAATTTCATCATTGAAAATGCCACACGTGATGTTGCCCTGCACATTAATCCGCGACTACCTCAAAATTATATTGTACGCAACACAAAAGTTCGCAATGCCTGGGGCCGCGAAGAGGTAGCCTCCGCTTTGCCCTTCAGCCTACGACGTGGCGCTGCATTTTCCGTACAGATTCTATTCACCGACGAATGTTATATGATTTCAGTGAATGGTTATCATTTTTGTAAATTCTATCATCGTTTGCCTTACGAAAGTGTTCAAAGTCTCGAAGTAAAGGGAGAAATTGAAGATGTTACCGTTGAACGGTCCGAAGTGCAAAATTATCCCGAACGTTTACCAGAATCGGTGCCACAAACGGTACGATTGGGTAGAGCTTTAAGAGAACCAACACTGCCCGATGCCCATACGGTAGGTGGTAATGAGGATGAGACTGATCGTGTTGCCGTCCCCAATGCGGATACGGATGAGGACAAAGTCATAACACAATGGCGTGTCGTAAAGAAGGCCAACGGTGACATCGAATATGAACCGAAAATTGTAGCATTAAATGAAATCAAATTACCATATTATGGTACCATACCGCGCAATTCATTCCAACTGGGGCGAGTACTTAAGGTCGAGGGACGTGTCCGTCTACTGCCACAATCGTTTTACATAAATATGCAGTCGGGTCACAACTGTTGGCCACATCCCGTTGTAGCGTTGCATTTAAATCCACGTTTTACCAAACAAAGTTCCGGTGCCATTGGACGAGCCACAGTGATACGTAACTCATGGATCGATGGTAATTGGGGACAGGAGGAGCGTTCCGATTTGGAGACGAAATTCTTACCCGGCAAACCCTTCAGTTTACAAATTGTCCATGGCGAAGATTCGTTTAAGATTTACGTAAATCATCAATTGTTGACAGAATATAAATTCCGTGTTAGTCCCAGTACAATTGATACAATATATATACAGGGTGATATTAAACTATTCGATGTAGCTTTGGAACCATATAAATCGGTTTAAGTGCACGCCGATTTAGAAGGGGAGAAAATACCAAGAATAAGAACAAAAGACGAGAGTGGAAAAAAGTAAATGTGAAATGAGCCTGTTTGGAAGTGATGGTGTATGTGGAATGATGAGAAGGGGAACACAAACGGAAGGAAATTTGATGTAAGTAGACAATATTAGTTTGTATACAATTTTAGATTTTACACCTTTACTTTTTATAGTTTACACCATGCAAGAATTTGAAGTAGGTCCAGAGTTGTATGAAGTTCTCAAATTATTCTGATGGTGTACTAAAACTTTATACTTTACATAAAGTCAACTTAATGACGTAGACATAATACGAAACACCAATTCAACCGTAATGTCTTCCGGAGCAATTCCGAGACGCGAATTCTTCATTTAAATTCACCTTCAGAAGTAAATGAGATGATTTTGAAAATTAATTCTTCGATTTAAAATCTCTTAGATAGTTTAAGTATGACAATTTTCGGATACATTTCGAATGATATAGCATATTTTTATATAATTGCTGGAGTGAAACATACATATCCGGTAGAAGTTTGGGACTCTAAAACCGTTCCCCCTGCTGTTAATTCAAGCCGAATAGTTATTGTTTGAAATGTTTTCTATCATTTTATGAACCAATTTTTGTAAACCTCGGAATTATTGTGTTTCAATACCTATCAGTTTCACTGGGCGCTATCAGTTTCACTGGGCGCTGGCAGGGTCACAGGCCGCTGGTGTCGCTTCCGGCGGGTTTGGCTTTTACCTCACCCTTACCACTCTTGGCTGAAGCAGTTTGACGAGCATCTAGCGACTGCGGCTGCTTATCCGAGAACCTCATTCTCTTCACAGCCTCTGCGACAGCCGCTGTCCCAAGCACTCGCTTCGTATTTGCCAATTGTTGGTTTATACAGCAATAACATATCAATTGTCATAACCCTGGATTTGGGTTTTTGCAATTGAGCAGAAGGCGGATTGACAGGTTTTTTATTTGCTCAGCGAGAGGTTGCGTTTTAGCCTTTCTGGATGCCTTTATACGGGCGAGGGAGACCTCGTGCCGACTTCGACACTATCTTGCTTTCCTTCGCAGTGGAAGATTGTGTCAGTGTCTTCGCAACACACAGAGATCCCTTCTCAACACAGAGAAGTCACTGGCAATGTCATTGGGATAGATCCAAGAGAACTTCAGAATGAATTTGAGATCATTCTTAATCAAAAGGAATTCATTGCCGGTAATGGATACTATGTCTCGTTCTATAAACCGGATGCAGAAATTAACTACTCTCCGGTAAACTTTTTTGTCAGAGATCTGATGATTCATTCGTCTTTTGGGTGGGATGGTCATCAGCGCCGGCCTCTGCGTTTCCACGACAGAGGGTCTGCGATCTGAAACGACCCGAGCCTTACTCGGCCAACGTCTGTCACCTTAGCCCATTGTTTAAAAGCAATATGGCTGCTACAACAACAACAACTTCAACGGGCATTGACATCGCAGTGTCACGACCGCGGCCAAAAATTTTTTTATGAGGATTGATATAAAATACTCCAATTAGAATAAATATGAAATTTTACATCGATATGTCGAGTAGTTTTGTCTCTACAAAGGTTCAAATTTGATAATTATTTATAAACTGATTTTTTACCATATTTTCGAAAAATGGGTGTGTTTTTCTGATGCTCAAATATTTGAATATTCAAATTAACGGTTATTATAAAAGTGTTTATTTTGGTTGCTGTGGATGTTAAAAACTAGAATTCTCTGCAGTTTGTATGTATATATATATGTATATGTATATAGATATAGATGGTGTATACAGTCGTCCACACTTGTAGTACTTAGTTCATCAAATTTGTAAAACAAATTTTGAAATTAGTGGAGCATAAAAAAAAAGTTTAAAAAAGGTTAGCTCTATTTTTTTTTATTTGAGTGGTGAAAAGTGTGTTATTTAAGGAATAAAAAAAATTAGCTGCGGAGTCCTGCGGTCCTAAGAGTTATTTAATTTTTTTGGTGATCACCTTTTGAAAAAATATGGCATATTCACGAAATGGTTAGAAACAGATGGTCAAATATGTTATGTATACAATTAAATAAGTTATTGAGGGTCAATTAGGAAGGAGAAATTGGATTCAGAACATAGTAATAATACAATATTTTACATAAAATATGCAATTAAGTGGTAAAAACGTTATTCGAAGGGTAGATATGGGAGAATTGGTTTTAAAATATAGCTTTTAAATAAATTTTCAGTCAGTTTGAAGATTATACTTATTTATCAGATCATTTGAGACATAATCTTATAATCTTAATTTAGAGGCCGCACATGAATTACCTTTGTGGAAAGTTCATACATAAAAATATTAGTTCATGGCATGGGATACGCAAAGTGCAGTACAATACCTTTTGAGCGACTTTCACAAGGTGCTAACAAGTCATGCCAACAAAAAATTAGTAGCAGCCCGAACTTTTGTTAAAGCCGAGTTAAATAAGGATTTTATTTAGTATTTTATATTACAATCCGACCTTGTAATATCCTTAAACAGCCATAAAGTAAAGGCCCGAGATTATAATGTGGATGATACTAAATCGTGCATTTGGGAAGACAATATTATATATATATATATATACATATCTGATGTGTGTTTTGAAAATGTTGTGAATGATAAAAAAATTATTTATTAGTTATTAAACGATATCAAATATCTTTTATATTATAATAAAAATAACAAAAATAAAACTACTATACTTTATTTAGCTGCATATAACGATTTTATAGTACAGAAAGTTAAATTTTTAGGGACTTTTGGTATGGTAGGTACCTGAAATATGGACCAACAACTAAATTACAACACCTATTACTGTCTTCGCCCAAATTTGATGTAATTTGGACGAAGACATGAAAATTTTCGTGGAATTTGGATGAATATAAACAATTTAAAGGTCCAAAAATCGGATTTTTCAAGACCCTTTGTATGGGAGGTATATGAAATATTGGTCTGGTCTACCTACAGTCTACAGTTTTTGGTTCGTTGCTTTATAAGCATAAGTAAATGTAAATTGCCAATTTTCATTGAATTTAGTTGAATATTAAAGATTTTATAGTCCAAAATAGTAAAGTTTTCAAGACCCTTTGTATGGGAGGTATATCAAATCTTGGTCCGATCAACCCAGTTTTTGGTCAGTTGCTTTATAGGCATAAGTAAATGTAAATTGCCAATTTTCATTGAATTTGTTTGAATATTGAAGATTTTATAGGCCAAAAAGGGTGACATTCTCAAGACCCATTATATGGGAGGTATACCAAATCTTGGTCCGACCTATCTAATTTTTTGTCAGTTGCTTTTTAGGCCAATAATTAGCACGTGTACCAAATTTCATTAACTTACGATAACTTCTTCCATTTTTGGCCGCTGTTTATATGAACTCGCGACATAGTGCATCGTCGAGAGTTATGGGGTGTGATGAAACCGAAGAGTGGTCTTGTTCGAGACTGAGGGTGCAAAGGCAGCCACACCGACATCAGTTGAAAAATCGTATTCCATAAAATATTATTTTTTGAAGAATGGGGGTTGTAGAAAAAGTTTTTTGAAGTGAGGACTAGGGGTCAGCCATGGCATATTCTCTTACCATGGTAAGGCTCAGCAGCTAAGCCTTAAAAAAACCAGTACGGAAAGTTCAAAAGTTGGACGGAGCCGACTATATGATACCCTTCATCACTTTAGATACATACAAGAGATGATAATATATACAATATCCTGTAGGTAGAACAGACATATAATCTTTAGAGGACCATTGAAATGGAATGGGGTGAAACTAAATGTGTGATCTACATAGGTATTTGAACCAATTAAAACCCCATGCACATACCATTGTGAAATCTATGAAAATTTGTATGTCAATCGTATTCTTTTGCGTATCATTTGTATGAAATAGAGCAAAATAATGTATGTGGAGCTATATGCAAATCTGGACCGTGGCGTATAATATAATCGGATAAACTATATATGGGAGAAATATATCTAAATCTGAACCGATTTTCACGAAACTTAGCAGACATGACTCTAGACTTAATTATGTACGTTATGCCAAATTTTGTGCAAATTGAAAGATATATGGGGACTTTGGTGCACCATTTACATAAAATCGGACGCAACTATATATGTGAGCTGTATTTAAATCTGAATCGATTTTCATGAAACTTAGCACAAATCATTCTGGACCTAATTCAGTACCCTATGCCAAATCTCGTACAAATCGAGAGATATATAGGGACTTTGGTGCCTATATCGGACGAAAAAATATATGGGAGCTATATCTAAATCTGAATCGATTTCCACCAATTTCAATAGGGTTCGTCCTTGGGCCAAATATGTGACTTGTGCCAAATTTCATCCAAATCGGATCATAAATGCGACCTGTACTTTGTTTACAATTTAACATCTACAGACGGACGGACATGCATAAATCAACTCAGAAAGTGATTCTATGCATATTCTCAAAAGGAACCATGTGTCTATCTCGTTTCCTTTTGCTTGTTACAAACATATGCACAAAGACAAAATACCCTGTACCACAGTGTGGTGAAGGGTATAAATATTGGGCACTATCCGCAACCTGTGGATGCGTTCGTTAGCATTCAGCTCTACTCCCAGTAGGCAAACGATTTAGATATAGCTCATATGTGTGTTTGGTGGTGCGCCAAACGTAGGCGGATTGTCACAAAATATTCTATAATCTTCCTGCAAAAATGTCAAAATTGGTCATCACTTTAGAAATTTGGTACCTCTTTAATTTCGATATTTTGGTGACTTTGGGAATATTTTTGAACTAAATAAGCTCATGTGGTGTCACATTTTTCTACCAAAAATTATCAATATAGTTTCACGTTTTTCACGGAGTACAGTTACCCCAATTTTTAGTATTTTGAGGACTTTTAATCGATTTTGGATGTCAAAGTTATCAATATCTGTCGAGGTGTTTGTATAACCAATGTCTTATTTCAATTTTTCTATCA